TAGTCAATCTGATTTTGAAAAAAAATCCATTTTTTCAAACGTAATGTAACTCCGGCGTATCTGAATTTTTAAAGTACGTCCGCCAAAGCTAATAATCCGGATTCGAAACTCGGAGATGGAACCAGTATGTCGTCCATGTACGCTAGAGCTCTTGAGTACCTTATTGAGTCTAAAATCTGGTTGATTGTCCTTTGGAACATGGCTGGCGCGTTGACTGATCCAAATGGCATCCGAAGATAGGTACTCGTACTGCCCGTCCGGTGTAACGAATGCTGTTTTCTATACTGAATCCTCAGCTATTCCTATTTGATGATAGCCGCTTGCCATATCCAGCATGGTAAAATACTTACATCCTTTCAATGTTTCAAGATGATCGTTGACACGTGGGAAAGGAAAACAGTCTCTCACGGTTTTAGCATTTATGGCGCGATAATCGACGTACATGCGCGTTTCTCCGTTTTTCTTTTTTACGAGCATAATGGGACTGGAATAAGGCGCTTGTGATTCCCGAATGATACCAGCAGACAACAATTCATTTACCATGTCACGTACCTATTTCTCTTTCGTGAAATAGTGGAACGAAAGTCGATAGAGTCGATAAGTTATAGGCTTATCATCAGTCAGATGAATGGACATTTCTACATTTTTGATATCACATATCACCTAGTTCACAAATATTTTTGGCGAAACAATCGCGATATTTATTTAATAATAACAATAAATTATGTTTCTCGTTCTCAGAAAGATTTTCCGTTAAATGACCTAGATATTTTATTGTAAATTTTTTTGTTTAGGTTAGTTGGTATTAAACTGTGTTTTGTGTCGTTTTTGTGATTTATATAACAGAAACTTGAAACAAAAGTATAAACTATGAACAATATTACTTATACATATCTAATTCCAACGAAGATAACAAATAATAATAAATACAATAGAAAAGAATAATATGCGAGCAAATATACGAGTCTCCTTCGCAAATCACCCTTGCGCTATCATCTCTCGACTGACCCTCCTTCCTTTCCGTAACGGTAACGGTTTCTTTGTTCGTACCCGCTGGGCTGAGTAAACACTTTTTGTGCTGTTAACTAACTATTTATTCTTTATTTTCGGGCTGGTTACAAACTATACGTAAAAAGAATAATATTCTGTAGAAAATTAAAGACTTTCAAAAACAATGCCTGAGTGCCTACCAAAGTTGATCATAGATGTCGCTTCTGATGGTATAATTACAGAAGCTCTGCAACAGCAAGGTAAAAATGCAGGACAGTCTGACTTTTTGTATTACAGAAAAAGAGTGCATTTGCAAGTCGCCTGCAAATTTGCCCATGGCGAAATGGTCCCGTAAGTTTGCGTGAGTTCTTTCAGTCACTTTGACAACTTTGAAATCTCAAACTGGTAAGTCAGTAGCGCCAAACACTCTTTTTCCATAAATATGACGGAATTGCAGATTTTCTCCTGTAATTTGCTCGTTCCTGGAAATAGAGCACATATACAAGTCGGCCATATATGCAGAACTGCAAATTTGCGTATGCAAATATACTGTAATGACGAGTATGACGTACAGTGACTTGCTAATTCTACAGTGATGACAATGGTGGTCTTATTTTTGATTGGTTCCATCAAATCCCATATATTCATATGCAATTTTTTTGCATCAAAATGGCGGCGGGGGCGTGGCCTACTTCTATTTCTATATAAACTTATGAACAGCAATAGGTTTCTTCGTAGAGAAGTCACAAACCAGTCAGAGCGAATTTCAATGATTGAGTCAGAAAACTATTTTCAATCAATGAAATTCGATCTAACTGGTTTGTGATTTCTCTACGAACAGACCTAATAGCACTAAAATGGCGGCATCGTCGCAACTGGTTTTTTGAGTCACTGTAGTATGACGGACCTCCTACTGGTTGAAAAATTTCTGGCGAATTTTAACTTTTTTTCAAATTGTGGCAAAGTTGAAATCATTTTAGCTTTTTCCTTTTTTGGATCGTTTTAACTTTCACTTTTTGACTGCCTGGTGAAAAGTAAAAAGTAAATAAGACAATACGCACCATGCGTTTCCGCGCCAAAGTTTTAATTTGAATTTCAGTATTTTTTTTTCTATTAATTAAAACGGAAAAAAAGGAAACAATGTTGAATGTAGTATCTGATCACTTTTTATCCGAAACTCAATTTTTATAGGATATCGTTTCGACGGAAAACGTACGCATGAGACTCCGGATTTACTTTCAAATAAAATTATTGAAACATCAAATCGTGGCAATCATTAGCCTTGCCACGATTTGGAAAGGCAACCATATACCACTGGATTCGCAATAAAAATATCTACATTTACGTATTTGAGGGTATTGAAATACAAGTTGCAGAAGGCCACAGGGAGCGAGTGGACGAATGAATGAGTGCGAGAATAGCGTTCTGCAACGTGAATTTTATACAATTTTTTCGATTTTAGATTTTACTTTTTTTTACAAATTTTTCTGTGGTCGCTTAGTTGGGGATTTTTTATTTGCAAAATATGTCAGTTGGTGACACTTACTTACCAAAAAACTGACAGGTGGATTCTATCATTTTAGAAGGTTTGAAAATTTTGAAGCTACCAATAGGTATACTAAATGTCACTAAAAATCGTTGAACAATGAGCTTCATTCTTCAACGATTTTGCGTGCGAGAATAATGACATTCTCACATCAAAATTGAGAATAGTATATTAAAATACAAGTTGCAGAAGGCCAAATATTCTTGCACGAATTCGAAATTTGGCCACGAGCGGCAAAATAGCGAGTGGACGAACGGATGAGTGCGAGAATAGCATTCTGCAACGTGAATTTCATACCTACTATTTTCTCGATTTTGCATTTTATTTATTTTTAAATTTTTTTGTGGTCGTTGCTAGTTGACGATTTTTTCTATTGCAAAATATGTCAGTTAGTAACACTTAGTTAGATACTTTGACAAATAAATGTCACTAAAAATCCTTGAAGAATGAGCTTCATTCTTTAACGATTTTGCGTGCGACAATAATGACATTCTTACACCAAAATCGAGAAAATTATTATATTATCAACTTACCTGTTTACACCTGGTTGTCAGGTATTGTTGCCAAGAAAAAGGTAGCCAACCATGCTCAAATGAATTGAATAATTTTCAATTAAAAATAGCCTTGCCAGGATATAGGCTGCCAACCACCCCGGAATTTATCTATCCCCACATAACAGTGAAAGAACATTCATATTCTCAGAATATTCCCTCAAAGTGCTTTTTGGAATGTTCTTTTAGGAATGTTTAATGAATATTCTAAGAATGTTTCGATTGAAATATTCATTTTTGAACTTTCTATTTATGTACTGGGAATGTTGCTTCTATGCACCTACCGGAAAGATTGTGCTAAGAACCTACTTCATATAACATTATTTGAATATTGTCATACGAACATTATTATAATGTACCTTAAAATATGTTCTTTCGGATAATATCTCTATCAAGTATTAAGAATATACCTACCAAGTTGTGCTGAGAAGTTTATGTAGGTAGGTAACCATGATAAGAATATTTTCATATTGTTCACCTAATTATCTAAAGTACCTACTCAAAAATCTTGATTGAACAATTACACAATAATGCTCTATCTAGAACCTACTAAGAATATTATAGGTATATTCTTTTTTTTTTGCTTTGTAGGACTTCCAAGAGAGGGAGCCACGCGTTATTAAAGATCTACATCTTGCCTCGCGTTTGAAACACCTTGGAACCTGTTTCTCTCATTTGGCGTGCTTTGACGAGAGCATAACAAGCTCGAAACCGGAGCTTTGGTTAAATACTTGTGTTTTCCAGAGAAGTTTTCCAACAACTCTTTCACTGCCTTTAATATAAAAGCGCTGAAAGGGGCATTATTTGGGAGCGAAAATTCCATTCCAAGTATATCCTTAGAATCAAACAAGAATATTATGTCTAGGATGCATATTGAGAATGATATATGTAGATATATTCTAAGAATATTTCAAGCATATTGATATAATATTCTTTTGAGAACATAACTATAATGTCATAGAAACATTCTTTGAATGTGAGAATATACATTTCGAGCATATTTTAAGAATCAAACAGGAATATTCTTTTCAGGATGTACTGAGAATCTCATAGGTATATTCTAGGAATATCCTAATGGATTTCCTAGGAAGTTCTTGGGTATTGCAAACAGTATTTCTACAATCTTTTCTCAGAACATTCTCAGGACATTCGCAATGGTTTTGGCGAACATTCTAGGCACATTCCTCCTGAAAAAAGAACATTCTTAATACATTCTAAGGATGCAATTTTGTTATGTGGGTCTTTACTTTACTGCAAAAAAAAATATATTTTATCAGGAAAAAGGATGAGGGGTGTTATTGTAAAGCCGGATCTTCTAATATAATAATAAAGAAAATTGTTATTTATTGAATATTTAGGTATTTTGAACAAAAGGATTACGTGTGCCGATGAATAACTGAATTATTATTTTCTCGATTATTTTGTACAGTCTGGGGGTGAGTAACTAAGGCCCGGTTGTATAAATTAAGCTTGAGCTCAGTTAGTTAGTTTAATCCATTCTAAAATACATTTCTGCCGTCGATGAAATTCTTCTTCAAGCTTGATTCTTGATTTATACAATCGGGCCTAAGAAGGACTCGCTAAAAGGTTATTATTATCAATGTGTTCCTAAGTATTTTAAAATGTTTTCGAAAAATGTGAAGTTTTTTCAACCAAGACGCTCGTTTTCACTTATCGGTTTAACTCAGCGGATCGATTCTATTATCCGGTGACATTAATAATTATAATGGTTTACTGATCCAGTAGTCCGCAAAATTGATGAATCCATCGGCAATTCTTTCAATTCAAAGACATTGACTTATTTAATGACAAGTGAATGAAATTCTTGCTGTGTTCTAGCGGATATAAACAAATATACCTATCTGTAGTTGTAATTATATAATTATATCTAAACAATTATTTCTTTGTTCCAGACTTTTGTAGTAGTTAGTAAAGGAAAGGACATATTTCGGTTTAGCGCAACAAATGCCCTTTGGATACTAGATCCTTTCAACCCAATCCGTCGTGTGGCCATTTACATTTTAGTACATCCTTTATTTTCACTTTTTATTATTACAACCATCCTAGTCAATTGTATCCTTATGATCATGCCAACAACTCCCACCGTAGAATCAACTGAGTAAGTATACCGTATCTTTATTATTAGCAAATATATTATATTTTCCCTTTTTCTATAGTCCATTTATTTAGTATTATAACAAGGGGATAGTCAATCATATTTTCAACAATTATAGTAGTCGCAGATCACATCATCATCATCATAAGCGATCACTCGATACCAGTTTGATTATCTTCTATTTTATTCCTATTGACGTCGATTGGGCGTTTTCTGATGCCTATACAAACCAATTCTGGAGCCGCACACTCTTCCACGGTCTTGGCACAACCAGCCTCTGGCAGCCTTCTCTCTTCCTCTGTTATCTCGCTCCTTCCTGCGGTCCCTTTTTTCGGTCTTTTGTCTGCGTCGCTGCTCTTCAAAAGTTTGTGGTCTGTCGTGCACTACTCGACGCCATGAGAGCCTCATCATTTGCCGTCGTCTCCCAGTTGCTGCTATCGATGCGGCACTCTACCATACTCTTCCTAAGAATATGCTTGTAGCGTTTTTGTTGACCTACCTGATTTCGATTTCTCTCTTTCAGTTGACCGTAGAGAATCTATCGTGGAAGACGTGCTTCGGGTATGCGGACGTGGTAACCTGTCCAGCGAAGTTAGTGCTCAATGATTCTAGTTGTTTTGGCCTTCTACAAAACACTATCGTTCATTCGTCGGTCCTACCGTTTAATGCGTGGGATCCTTGGTAGGCATCGCTGGTGGTATTTTTCTAGGTTTTTTATGTGTCTTCTGTAGGTGGTCCATGTTTCGCAGCCATATGTAAGTATCGGTATTACAAGTGCATTGTAGACGCGAAGTTTGGCCTCAGCGCTGATGTCGTGATTGTTGAATTCTCTCTCTAGAAGGCGCCCGAACGCCGCGCTAGCACCCTACAAGCGATGTTGGATTTCAGTGTCAATGGTTACGTTCTGGGTAGGTAGTGTACACTTGGCCAATCATAAAACTGGACCGCTTTTTCCCATTGTGTGGTATTGTGTAGATCGACCTTTTTTATCACCTCAAAAATAACAAAAAAGAGTGAAGTCAGTGTCATCTTTAAACCAAACACAACATAAAAACATGTTGCATTTACTTTTGTTCAGCTTTGACATTGACAAAAACTAAGAGACTTTTTGTTGTTAAGCCTGACTCACACTAGGAAAATTTGAAAAATATTCCTACATTGCCTGTACCAGTTTTAGGTTTAGCCAAGTGCATCTACAGCCAATTCTCCTGTATGCCTGGTTGAATACATTGATAATTGCCTGAAGATCTTTCGTATTGGCTCGTAATTAACTTAGGTTTAATTTTGATGAACTGATCCTAATGTCTCCTGATAAAAAATTAACAGTCGCTTCAAATTTATTCTGCGTGTTCATCCACAAACTCATCATTCAAATGGTCTCGACTGGCGAACTCGATGGACACGCACGGTCGGTTGGATCGCTAAAAACGATTAAAAAATAAATCTGGCCATAAGCCAACCATACAATAGTGTGTATTTTGGAAACTAAAAAGAAAAAACAGCCATATTCAACATTACTGGAAATGTGCTTTTCAAGTTGCTGCCACTTTTCTTCTGTTGGATGTGCGGATTTTAGCCAGTTGGTCAATATTTTCTTGAGATTGTCGTCTGGATTAGTGGTCAAGCAGTGATATTTTTCATCCATATTTTCTTCTTCTACTTCCCCAGCCTCTAATAATCCATCTTTAAATATAGCCCTTTCCCAATTCGCGGCAGCGAATTTTATTTTGAGCCACTTATCTCCATTGTTATCCTGCGGGTAGATTGAGGACGTCGATGCATCTCGTATGTGGTCTGCGTCTTGATCTGTGTCCAGTATCTGTTTCCCATCACTTAGAAGATTTCTTGTTGTCTCATCAATTTTCTTGTTACAGCGGTTATCCTTTTTTTGCTGCTTCTAAAATTGTTTAATCCATCATTTGTTGTTTATGCCATCTAATTCCGGTTTTAACTGATGTGAGACAAGCTTCGTCGAACAATCTTTTCCGTTCATCCGTCACCCCGAGTATGATTGGAGCTCTCAGAACTCTTTAATCACTCTGGTGAATCTGTTGATAACTTAGACATTTTCAAAGAAGCATCGACTTTTACAGAGAAACTAGTCTATATCGATTTTTTTTTTGACACTTTTAGTAAATGTGATTCGAATCATGAAAAAAAAATATATATATGAAGAAATGTCTAAAAAGGACGTTGGCCTCCTTATTGGATTTATTGCAATTATCAACTATCCTTTCTTAGAAAAGAAACATCAAGAGATCGGAAATGTAAAATATAGGTCAAAAATTATGTATTGCATCCCCTGGTTTATAATTTAAGGAAAAACGTAATACATAGAAAGTAGAAGCTTTGATTGATGTGTGCGGTTTAGAGTAGACAGAGAGGTATTTGTAATTTTCAGAGTGATATTCACGGGCATCTATACGTTCGAATCAGCTGTGAAGGTGATGGCGAGAGGTTTTATTCTTCAACCATTCACCTACCTTAGAGATGCATGGAACTGGCTCGACTTCGTAGTCATAGCTTTAGCGTGAGTAGACTAGCTAGAAAAATAGAAACTATAGACTTAGAATGCAGACACACCTCTGTTCTAACTTTGCATAGCACAGTCAGTACATTCACTTAAACACGGTTTAATCGAATTTGAAATAATCATCAGAATTTGCTTACGGAAGTCATTCACCATTGAAAATTGAAAATTCGAATTTAAGAAGGGTTTGTTCCAATAAAAGTTATGAGGTCATAAGAATGAATTTGAATAACAAAATCAATTCTTTGATTGACAGCCAATCAAAATATCACTCACCTACTAATTTGAGATATTTATATTGGAACAAACCCATTATGGATCGATGACGGATATAGTCATAACCTTTGATTCTTCAATGATATAATTTTTTCAGTCTCGTGCAAAGTTCGAATATTTCTTACATATAAAAGATATATTTAGGCGAGGATCTAAGCCAGGGTAGCCGAATTCTTTATTGAGTTTATTGTAATATTTTCGCAAAAATGATATTTGTTATTCTATGGTAATCATCGACAAAAATAATTTTTATTTACCTTGTTCCACAGCTAATCAAGTGATCTTTTATTTCTTATTTTTTGGCAAAATGCAATCAAAAATATGTGAGTGATATTAATTTATCAGATTGGTACAATTTTATTTATTAAAGTAGAATACAATAAATAGTACTTAGTTTTTAAAAGTATTTTCTATTATTGATACTAGCCAGAGAACCAGTTTTAAAGTTTTAGATGAATTAACTTCAACTTTTATAACTCTATTTTATAGTTAGAATAGATACATCATCATTATATTTTAGAATATTGAATAGAATCCTTCCTATGTATCCACTAGTATAACTTTATACATACATATACTTATATTAGAGGTTTTATTTTATATAAAAATGTGGTTATTATTATGTATAAAGGAATCATCTTAGTATATGAAGGCCAATGGATCTGATTATTTTTAAAAAGTTAAAATTTAAGACCTGCTAAATCAGAAGATATTTGCATCTGTCTAATAGCGAAACATTTCTCACATGAAAATCTGGAGATGTAATAGAAGTCGAGTTTTCTTATCGGACTTCGAAGAATGCCGTAACCAATATATTGGAAGGGATTGTTGCACAATAGCTTATAAACCTTGCTTTTATTGTTCCCTGTGAACACATATCATATTACATTGGAAATTCGTATTTTTAAAACAGGCCTTAGTTTGTGAGAGAATAGGGTTTAGACAAAGGTTTAGTTAAGTTTCTTTACAAATTTTAGCAGATTGCCAAGTACCAATCTGTTTGATCTAACAGACTTTTTGCTTGTAACAAAATTTCGTCAATCACAGTCATCACAGATTGCAGCGGTCATGGAAAAGTTAGCATCAATACATTAATCGGTTAATAATTTTCTTGTCATATGTGTAGGGTTTTGTTGAGTTATGACTTTGGAGGATTTTAGTCTCCGAAGATTGATAGACGAATTAGTTTTTATTGATTTATATGGAGTTTTTTGTGTTTTTTTTTTTTTGGATTGGTGTTGATTATTTTGTGTTTTCTTTTTCGTTTTTTTTTTTTTAAATTTATTTATGGTTTGTTTGTATTTTAATTACGCGAAGAGAATAAAACGTTTTTAGACTTGTGGACGTTCCGCTGACCGCTGACTCAATGCCTCGGGCGCGATTTTTTTTTTTGAGTTTGCGTTGTTTTATCAAATTAAACAATCAAATAAATTTTTTTATGTTCTACTAGCTAATGACCCGCTGCGTTGCCAGCATGTAAATACATTTTAAAATAATACACTTCTTTTCAAATTTTGTTGTTGATTTTCTATTTATTTTTATTTTTTTTTCAATCCGATATCATAGTCGCTTGCCAGTGAGTTCAGTGACGCATTTTAAGCACTCCAGAGCTGCTCTAGAACGACCCGGGCTGTTTATAGGCGTTCCAGTGTATCAGAGTTTTACGCAACCGAACTTTTTTTTTCGGGATAAAAAATAGCCTATATCACTCTCCTCTATAGCCGATTCGATTGACCGGATTAGATCCATCTGGTTCAATTTAAGTGAACCACACTGTGTTCGATTCAAGCTGGATCAGTGCACCCTCATCAACAACCTTATATAGAGATACGTGGTATTAATTCGAGATCGGTCCAGTCCAGCCGTTCTTGAATTCAAAAAATAATAAAGTTACGTCGGTTGAATGCAAGCCTAAATAAATGAAATATGGCAAAGTTGTTTCATGCTGTCAAAAAAAGTTGGGTTATTTTGTTATGTAACGTGAATGAGACGAATGAGTTTGTTTACAATTAAATTATTAATTAATTCAAAATTAATTTCTTTTTCCGAGATGCGTAACCTATCCACAAACCTTCCTTGGGATGGCCATAACAACCTACCAAAGTTTCATCGTAAACGGATAAGTGGTTTTGGAGCGCATATCCGGATACCCCGTGAACTTTGATTTTTATATATATAGATAATTTAATCTATGTATTGGAACAATTGGAGCAACTGTCTCTGATTGGGGTTTTGTGATTTATCATCTGTTGTGTTTTATATGCAAATTATATTTTTCGTTCAGTAAATCTTGTTTTTAAAAACTATTTATTTCAATAAAAACTAAGAAGTTACAACAAAAAATGCTAGACTTGCTGCGGCGAAAGCCGAGAACAAAATAATCATTGATTCTAAATTGCTATAGTCTAAGCTACAATACAAAAAGAATGAGCTGAGAAGCTCTACGCGCCGTATTTATAATAAAATACTGCTGACGCCAGCATTCACGTGGGTGAAACCTTGATATGACGGTACTTTTCTAGGCAGTACCGCTTACTCAGCATTCTTATAATATCGTGGGCTTTTATAGTGGCGTATGCTTATATTTAACATTGGAAAGGAGAATTATTAGTATAATAATAATATAGGGTTTTATAATATAATTTGCATAAGGAAACTCTTTTATTGTGTCGATGACTGAGTCTCTGTGTCTGTGTTTCTGATCTACTGGTTTTTGCATAAGTCTTACTATTTGTTTGTAGAGCAAGACTCTGCTTTCGTTTAGTATGTTATTTTCACATAAGGGGCGAAATGGGGCCTAAGTTTTGTCACCTGTCGCTCTCCACTTCATCCAGATTCAGAAAGGTATTGAGGGCGGATGATTCATTATTCGTCTCTACCTCTAAGTCCATGATTTCGGATTACTCGCGGAAGTGTCTTTCGAGACGGAGTCCAATTCGGGGGATTTTGAATTTTTGGCTTTGCTCTAAGTGTTTGTCTTTGCTTGTTCTCGAGGATTTTTAGTTCATCAGAGAATTGTTTCAAAAGCATCGATTCGAAATTTCGAATGTTGCGTAGTTGAAGACCTTTTGAGACTATTCGTTTGGTTCCTAATTTTCTGTTTGAGGTTTTAGAATATACAAGTTCCAGAATCGGTCTTATGTAGGTTTGATCTTTGGGTAGTTGCTAGTTGCTTGTAGGCCTTACCAATAAAATAAATAACTGAATTGGCTCTTTTAACAGTTTCTCCTATGTGACTCTTCCATTTGGAAGCCTGTGATATCGTCGTTGTTTGTCAACACTACCAAGCTGTGTGCCTTTCAAGAAGTCCATGTTGGCTATGTGAACAGTTATTAAGAAATAGATGCGGAATCTAGTCACTACAATTAGGCTGAAGTGATTATAATGAACTTTCCAGTTTTTCCAGAGTAAAAATTATGATTCGTAGTTCTGTTCTGTTGGGATTGTCGGTCTTGATGCGATGACACGACTTTGCTTCACTCAGTGATCATGAACGGTTTTCCGGGTCAATTATTGGTAAGAACATGCAGTGAACGGGGTATGTTAAAAAATTTGAGCTAGTTAATGTTAGTATTTACGATCAGAGAGTCTCTCGATTACCAGAGTCGAATGCTAGGACTTTGACAAGGTATATATAAATGTCTTGTCTATAGGTTGCCTAAGCTGTAATAAGATAACTCAGTGTATATAGGTTTTTAAGTATTGGAACCATGAGTTTGTATTTGCATTTTTCTGGGTTCCGAACAAGAAGAAGCTCGCGAAGCGAAAGTTTCCAAATAAAAAGAAAACTTCTGAAAAATTAGGTTCAATCTCCAATTGAGAAAATTGACCTCTAACCAAGATTTGGTTTATTCTGCAATCAGGAAAACAGATCTTGGACCATTTTGGATTTATTGTCAAAATTTAAGCTCATTTAATATAATTAAATAATGTCTAAAAATAATAAAAAATGACGGGAAATCTTGCACTGTAACAAAAATAATAATTCCTAAATAATAATTAATAGAATCACAAAGAGGATTTATTTATTGTTATTAAATTTGATTGAGTTGGAAAATCTTTTAGGGGAATAAATATTTTGGCATATACTAGGATGATCCTGTACTTTATATAAATAGATATTAGATTTCAAAAACTTATTAGTCAATCAGATGTAATCGTATAGGTAGTTTTTTTTTAGAAAAGTTTTTTAGAAAATTTATAGAATTCTTGGAAAATGACATTTGGATAAAATTATTTTTAAATTCCAGTTATGTTACTATGGGTATAGACCTGGGAAATCTAGCTGCCTTAAGAACATTTAGGGTCCTTCGAGCCCTAAAAACGGTTGCCATTGTGCCAGGTACGTTTATTTTCTGTCAAAAATGTATATCTACTAACTAGGAATGTTTATGTTTGGTTTAAGGTTTGAAGACCATCGTAGGTGCCGTAATAGAATCTGTAAAAAATCTGCGAGATGTGATAATTTTAACAATGTTTTCACTTTCTGTTTTTGCTCTTATGGGTTTACAAATTTATATGGGTGTCCTCACGCAAAAGTGTATAAAAAACTTTCCTCAAGATGGATCATGGGGTAACCTTTCAGACGAGAATTGGGATTTATTTATGAAAAACGAAAGTAAGCAATAAATCAATCAAAATTTACTCATAGATATTTTAATTTATTTAATTTAGCTAATTGGTATCGAGATGCCGATAAAGGTGATGAAATACCACTTTGTGGAAACTCATCAGGTGCTGGCACATGTAAACCTGGTTACACATGTCTGCAAGGTTACGGTGACAATCCAAATTATGGGTATACTAGTTTTGACACTTTCGGATGGGCCTTTCTCTCTGCCTTTAGATTAATGACTCAGGATTATTGGGAAAATTTATACCAACTGGTATAGAAAATATTATATTAAATTCGTGAGATATTAAATAACAAATTTTTTTCTAGGTTTTAAGATCAGCTGGTCCCTGGCACATGTTATTTTTTATTGTTATTATATTTTTGGGATCGTTTTATTTAGTGAACCTAATCTTAGCTATCGTCGCCATGTCATATGACGAGTTACAAAAGAAAGCGGAAGAAGAAGAAGCCGCTGAGGAAGAAGCAATAAGAGTAAGTAGTTTTGCCAAACAAAAAATATATATTTCTAGAGCATGAAAACACAATGGTCCACAGGAAGCAGAAAAAGCAGCAATAGCCAAACAAAACAGAGCAGATGCCAGGGCAGCGGCACATGAAGAAGCAGCCAGAATTGCAGCTGGTGGTGCACCAATTGGGAGCACCGACATTGTCAAATCGCCGTCAGATTTTTCCTGTCACAGTTACGAGCTTTTCGTCAACCAACCGAAAGGCCAAGATGACAACAACAAAGAAAAGATGAGCATCAGATCGGAAGGATTAGATTCTGTGAGTGAGCAGAGGAGAATACCCACTAATCCCACCAAGATGCGGAAAGTCAGCGCTGTAAGTGTCCTGATTGTTATTTTGAGCCCCATGATTATAATTATTAGCATTCTGAAACTTAACAAAAAAGTTACTTCTTAGCAGCGGTATGTGATTATCCTGCGAATTTAGCAGTCAGAATAGAGCCTGTTTTTTAGATTTCCATATAAAGCCCCAGATTAATTCGCACTAGATGTTTGGTTTTGCTTTAAAAAATTGCGATCAATAGCACCGTACTTGCAAATGTATGCGACACAACATATAAGTTGAAATATTATTGATCGCTCTAATAAGACAGATACAATTACCTAGCTTTAATGAATATTTTATTTTTGATATGTCAATTATTATAAGAGGTAATTTTTTATAAAATGAATTAAAAAAAAAAAAGAGTTTATACAGACCAGATCAACCTACTAGACAAATAGAGAGTGATAAGATGAATTAGCTTGTACCCGGTTGAGGCGATTCCAGGCGGTGCTGCCGAAGCCGAGTATAGTCGTGATGCCGATGATGCACGTATTTAAATATATTTTATTAACTTGCAGGGACGATCAGTGATCCATCGTGACGATCCTGCAGTGAAATGGGTATCAGTCAACTGGCCCCATTCAAGCCTATGTGTCTAGTAGCCTGGTCCCGTCTGTATCTTAATAACGTTGTTACATCTGTTGTGGTTCATAGTGGAAAATTTTTCAATTGGTATTTTTTAGTAATTGACCGTATCAACTTTTTTTTTTCTAATTAAAATACTTTTCTAACCTTTTTAAGAAAGCCTACTGATTAATAATAATTTCCGAATGAGATGGTAATTCTTTGGTGGGATCTTTGGGTGTATCTTCACATTCACGCTCCAACTCCTTTAACTGAACCTTAGATTTAAAAAGATGGATTACTCTTTTACAACTGGTGTGGATTAATCTGGGTTAAAGCATAGAACATTGTAACATACTTTTGTAGCGATAAATCAGCATAGAAATGTCGTTTCTGCATTCAAAAACAATTATGTAATATAATAATTTTGTCTTTATCATTATTCAAAATTGACAAAAAAATCAGCTTTTAAAACTCAGCAATATAAAAATTTCCACTATTTTAATTACTTGCATAGGGAGCTGGGCAGTATTCGGCTATAAGCCAGGTAACAATAATGAAATGTGCTGATTTATAAATTTCAAAAATTCCTGACATTCTTGTACAAAATTGTTGTCAATACTTTACTACTCATTCAATATTTATTTCTATTTTGAAGATACTTATCGTGAATTAATCATTATGTTACTTTGCCCAGCTTTGCTTATACATACTTATAGCAATTTTTTTCAACTACTTAATTCTGTTTTGCCTTCACTATAGGTCTGTTTGTTGTAATATACGTGATTAGGTAGTAACTAGGCATACAAATATATAATGTGGATAATTTTCCATATATTCTTGCTATATGCGAAATTATTTCACATCAGAATAGATCCAAGATTTTATTAAAACCAGTATTAAACTGTATTCAAATCAAGTGGTTTATGGTACGAAAGTTATTGATATTGCTGAGCATAAAAATTCGACAAACTGCAGGATAATTATTGTTATTTGTGGAAATCCGCTGATATATTTTCATCAAACTTTCAAAAAGAACCAAAAGTAAATAAAAATCATGACAATTATAGTGTCCAGACTTCGTTTGATAAACACCAGCCATTGTAGACGGTTGGATTTTAGCAAACGCTTTGCACTTTTTTACTTTTAGTTATTGCAAAACTCGTTCAAATTCATTTTTCTGCATATCAGTTATGCCACCTTAGCCTTCTGTTGTTAGCTTGAGTCAATTTCTTGAAAAATCATTTAAAAAAAAATACGTGACATGGCTAGTGGCATTTGAAAACTCATTATGGTATGATGATCATGTTTTTTATCAAAGTCTATAAATTTTTTTTTCTTTGTTTATTCATTATTTATTTTTCTATGAATTGCTTTATAGAATTTAAAATAAAAAGGCGTGATTTATTAAGCGCTATTTTGCATGCTTTAATGCAAGCTTATTTTAAAAGTTTATTCCAAATTTTTTATTGCATGTCTTTTAATACTCTTATTAAGAATAATGCCTGAAATGCAATATAAATATTATAATATACAAAATTTTCTTCCAATTATCATCATTCCTTTTCTTCATAATATACAGGGTTATTGGTAATTCGATACATTCCTATGGAGATGTGATAGGGGATGAGGTTAGGAGTAAATTTAACCGTAACATGCCTTATGCAGAACTCAATAGTTTTAGAGATATTTCTATGTTTCTATTCTTCGTTAAAACATAGGCCTAATTACCTTGAAAATTAATTAGCAAAAAATCTACCGTACATTTCTTCAACTTTTCTACTGGATTAGTGGCCTAACACTATGGTCTTATATGTTTGTGATGAAAATATCCGAAAACATTTCCCTCAAGGGAAAATTTTAAAAAAAATTTCTCCAACCGATAAGAAATTAAAACATATTTTTAAACATTATTTTCCAAGAGATTTTATTTAAAATTTTCCTATGACGGAAATCTTTCCGGATATTTTTTATCACAAACATAAGACCATAGTGTTGGGCAAGTAATCTAGTAGAAAAGTTGGAAAAATAAACCACTTAGGCCATGTTTTCAAGACATAAAGACAAAAACATTGAAATATCTTAAAAACTGTGGAGTTTTGCATACAGCATTTTATGGTTAAATTTACTCCTTACCTCATATATCATATCACATCTCTAAAGGAATGTATCGAATTACCAATAACCCTGTATTCTCGTGTTAGATAAAAAACACAAAATCTCATATAAACTAAAAAAAAAAGCCTCACGCATGTATAGACCATGTCCCGTGTTCAGGCAAGTCTAAGTCTCCCTGGATCTCCATTCAATCTACGCCGAGGTTCCAGAGGGTCCCATCAATTTACCTCGCGAAACAGTAGGCGTATGGTGGCACCACCTGGTGACCGTAAACCACTGGTACTTTCAACCTATCTTGATGCACAGGAACATTTGCCTTATGCCGATGACTCCAATGCTGTTACACCGATGAGCGAGGAGAATGGTGCTATGGTGGTACCAATGTATTATACCAATCTTGGTACGTATTTTTCTTATTTTTATTTCCTGTCAGTAAGTAAAACTAGTTACTGACTGGAAATATCACTGCTCACTAGCACTGGGCACTTTATGATGCAAGGAAAATTATCGCGAACAATATTCCGAAAAATGCCTTATTGTGCTTTAAGTTAGTGGTCATATTTCTAATTGCATAGATTTTCTGATATAAATCTGGAAAAATAGTATCAAATTAAATACTCAGATGTTATTTTGTCCCCGGAGAATATTAAAGATTTACGACGTTACCAGACCTTACTTTTCCAGGTCCAAGTGTGTCCAAGTCCTGAACATAAATTGAATAATGCTGCGGCCTTTTAAAAAGTCATGTACTATTCTTGTTTGGGTGGGCAGATTTTCAAGGATGCTAAATAATTGATTTATTCAAAAGAAAATAAGTACCTGATTCCGTTTTTTTTTTACTTTTGATCGGATTTTATCTTTCTTTAGCGCACTCAAAGAAAATGATAGGTCAAATCAACCAAAAAGAGCATATGAAAATGCGTCTATCCACCTTCATAGTTATAACAACCAGAAATTAATAGTTAAACATATTTTTACCAGAATAATAGTTCAGTAACCAAATTTTTTGTTGTAGCAACAAAATAGAGTGTATAATGACAATTATTCATGCTCAGTAATAATTATTCATTTGAGTAACTGAATAATTGTTCAGTATCCAAAATTTTTTGTTATAGATACAAAATAGAAGGTACAATACCAATCATTCAGTTGATAAACTATTTTTTGTTTGCTGTATCATTAGATGGTACCTTAACATTTTTTTTTTGGTTGTTCAAACTTATTTTTGTCTATCTACTTGTAGGCAGGTAGTTCCGTCGAATTAAAACACAGTGTTCAAAGTAGCGGTATTTATTTTTGAAATGACACATTAACAATTACCTTGTTGTTTTCTTTTTATAAGGCGTGTTTGATGCAAGGTGGCAACAGTGAGTGGATTGATAAGGCAACTATCATGTCATCTTTACTACATGGAGAATCTGTAAACAAAAATAGCTTTAAAATAAGAAGGTACATCGTAAAAAAACAGAGTATTAAGATTTTACCTTCGGGATTCATTGTGTTTAACCCAGTTTTAGAAGATTTACCTATGTTCTGTTTATATTTTACTTTTTCGTTGAATACCTATTGGTACTGCCAGATTTCTAAAGTTGCTCCATTTCTATACTAAATTGTATGATTTTCCTGTGTGTTCGAAAAATCTAGTTGTATCTATAAGAAAAGTAGGTACTTGTTAGATATTTTATTGAATGATATAAACATAAATATTTTTTCTTACCAAATTAGTAGATAGAATCCACAAGCGAATCTGTGAATAATTTCTCTTGAAAGCTATCCATCCTGACTTACCCTTCGGGTTCGCTTTGAACGAATTATTCACTAATCATCAGTGATTAATCTGGATTAATACCAACGCAAGTCCGTATTCCGTAAGCTTTCACCTGTTTGTCTTGTGTCTGCACTAGACCAGGGCGAAATACCTACTGGTCTGAATCCGACCACGGCAAGGAAAACCGATATAAATTTCAAATTTTGTATGCAATAATAGGTAAATCCAACCAAAAAAAAGCATTTTGGACAATAATTTTGTAGATGTAGCAAATCAGAGGGTTGACTTTAAATAAAATTTTGTTAGTTAACAAATTTCTTTGGTAACTTAACAACATTGTGGTTTAAATTTACCATTAAGTAATGGTTAAAAGCAGTTTAAACAATTTTTAGTTTGGTTTGATGAAGCCGTTTAACAAAAAAACTGTTAGTGAACTAAATAATTGTTAAATTTGCCTAAAATATCATTGTCACTAAACTATTAAAATTGGTTAAATATCCCATGCATTAATAGTTGAAAATTCATTAAACATTTACTGGTTTGGTTCGACAAACTTTAACAAAAAACTGTTAGTGAACTAAATAATAGTTCAATTTTCCAAAAATATTATAGTCACTTTTAACAATTAAATTTGTTAAATATACCATCCAATAATGGGTAAAACTGAATTAAACATTTTCTGGTATGAATTGACAAAATTTAACCAAAATCCGGGTTAGTGAGCAAAACAATAGTTATAATATCTATTTTTTAAGTTAAATCAAGTTTTGTGTCGCAACAATTTTTTATTGGTAGAAATAACTTTCAAGCTCTGATTAAAAAACAGATTGTAGTTTCATTTGACAATATCATCGGATTTGTTATTCAACATTTTTTTTTTGTTGAATCAACCCATGTAATTTTTCTGAGTGCGGTAATTTCCGACATTGCCTTGGGAATTAACTATTAAATTTGTTTATTTGTTTAGAACAGAATCCTGGGTATATTCATCCATTTTTTTAGTAAGTTTGCGATTCAAGTACCTATATTTTTAGTTTCTATATTGCTTTTGAATGAAATGACTGATTTGAATCATAGAAACCATACAGTCATACCTGACACCAAAATATTTCAGAAACAAAACTACAACTGATAAAGGACCTTTTAAAATTAGAGTGTCGAAAATAAGAGCAGGTAGTATCGAGAAAGCAGAAAAAAAATATTGGTTGAGACAGAAACCATGGAAGAAAACCTAAACAAAAATTCTACTAAAATTGATAGATCAAGTATAAGCAATGCGCGTAGAGCAATAAAACTACCGATTTAACACAATTTGAAAAAGCCAAAATATATTCCAGAGGAAAAACAATAAAGAAGCGGTACTCGTTGTCGACGACCAAAATCTCGAATGCCACCAAGCTGAAACTAGCTACCCTTCAATTCCTTGGTTGGGTGGTGCCTCGGTCGGTTTTATGATGGTTTGGTTTAAGTTCTTCCGGCCCTTTTTCTTCATAGATAATAGTCAGCTACGCTACCGTTCTCCACGCCCTCGTGGAATTTATTTGGAAGTACAGCCCTACGAAAATTCAAAGCGCATTAGTTATCAAATTAAAATTGTTACTCACGACATTCATTTTATATTTTTAACTTTTCTGCTTCGTCCTTGTCTTAGTTCCTAGGCTAAATATTCAAACAGATAATCAATAATTGTTTTTTTTCTTTTTTCAACTATACTCTTAGATCGCGACTTGGTGCCAAACACTGTGGGGTACCCCATAAAAAAAAATAGTTCGGTTGTAACGCTCTACTTGACCATTTGCTCTAGGAGTGGCCGTTGCGTTCAAAACATGTTTAATATTCAGTTTTTTACAGTATTCTGCGAATAGTTTGCTCGTATAACAGGATCCTCCGTCTAAGATAATTCTCCAGGGCACGCCATAGTTTTCTGCAATGCTATCCAAAAAGTTTATTACTGGACGAGTCTTGGTTGAAGTTACTGCTTCCATAAATACAAATTTTGTAAATGCTTCCACCACTACGATTAGGTAACAACTTTTCCGTTTTGATTTTATAAACGGACCTAAATGATCGATATGTATCGTATCAAATGGTTCATTTATCTTTTCTATAGGATGCAATGCTCTAGCTTGCCTTCCACCTGGCTGTTTGTTGTATGAACATGGCAAACAACAAGATATAAATTTTTTTGTATACCTTCGCATTCCTGGAAACCAGTAAAGATTTGACATGGCTGACAGCGTTTTGTCTTGGGAGAGGTAGCAATATTTGTCTTCTTGCTGATTTTGGAACTAACCATTTGAAACCTGCGGGTAAATTTTGTATAATCTATTGTTTTCTAGACAATAATTTTCTCCAATTTCCTCATCTTCCTTATCTTGCTTTGGTCTCTTCAACGTTTCGATGATAAATGTGCATCGTTCATCAGCCATCTGTGCATTTAAAATCCAATCTTCCTCATGTATGTTTACAATATTTACACTTATAGGATTCCTGCCTAATGCATCTGCATGGCCCATTTTTTGGCCTGGTCTATACTCAACACTGAGAGTATACTTAGCCACCATCTTCCTATCCTAGGTACAATGTCTTTTTTATTAAGGGTTGTTCTAATGAAATTGCAGTCTGTAACAACTGTAAATTCAATGCCAATCAAATAAACTCTAAAACGTTTCATTGAATCTACTACTGCCATGGTTTTCAGTTCATAGGAATGGTATATTTGCTCCGTGTTTCAAGTTATTGTCAGGTTGCAATTGTAGCAAAATTCCTGCGAGGCCCAATTTAGATGCATCCGTGTGGAGTTCGGTTTTCAGTTGTGGGTCAAAAATAGCCAAAACTGGTCTGGAAGCCAATTTTGTATTTCGAAAGCTTCTCATTGTTCTTCACCCCAGAAAAATTTGACATCTTTTTTTGTTAAGTAGGTTAATGATTTAGCGATCGTAGAAAAACCCTTAACGTACTTGCGAAAATAGCTTGCAAGACCCAAGAATTGCCCCACAGAATGAACGTCCATTGGAGTTGGAAAAGACTTAACAGCCTCACATTTGTTGGCTTTTGGCTTCACCCCATATTTAGTAGGTAATTTCTTGCCCTAAATACTCGACTTTTTCCATGAAAAATTTGCACTTGGAAATCCGAGATGTAAGTCCAGCTTTTTTGAACGAATCCAACACCTCTCCTAAATTTTGCTGTCCCTCTCCTATGGTTAAGGCAGGAAGCAGTACGTCATCCATATAGGCTATGGCTTTTCCATATCTCAGATTCCCCAGAACTTTATTGACAGCTCTTTGAAAAACTGCAGGAGCATTACACAATCCAAACGGCATCCTTAGATATTCAAATTGACCATCTGGTGTAGTTAATGCTGTTTGTGAAATTGCTGATTCTTCCATAGGAATTTGATGATAACCACAAGCCGAATCCAATTTTGTAAAGTATCTGCAGTTTTTTAGTTTTTCAAGGAATTCGTCTACGCGAGGCAATGGATATTTTATCTTTGACAGTTCTTAAAGTTTTCGGTAATCAACGCACATGCGCATTTCACCATTTTTCTTTTTAACCAACAGAATGGGACTGGAATATGGTGAATCCGATTCTCCAACAATTTTATTTTTCAGTAGATCATCGACAAT